ATAGTTAATTTTTTATGGCCAAAGAGTCCAGGCTGGGTCATGCATTACATTTAATTGTCATGCCTCTCTCTCTTTAAGAAAATATTTTTTCTTATGAGACAGCACATGTGTGTACATGTGAGAGTGACATAGAAAGACTGAGCATCCTCCACAGGATCTGGTCATGCCATGATCCCCTCTCTCAAGTAGGCCAGCCTGTGGGACCTTGGGCTCTGGCACACATGCCAGGTGTATTTCAGGCTGACTGGGCAGGGATCTGAAAAGTGGTTGTCATTTGGGACCTGGCTTTCTCGTGCGGCACGTGACTGTTGCACTGGAGAGACGACTCATCGTGTGTTTTAATCTTCAGTCTGGCACATTTTATTTCTTCTTATCTTGTGATCTTGATATTTTTGAGCAATTTAAGCTCATTATTTGGTAGAATGTTCCTAAAACTAGGTTTGTCTGGTTTCCCCTTGCGATTGGGTTTAGGTGGTTTGTTTGTGATAGAATACCACAGACATGACCTTGTGTCCTCTGAGCTTCACATCAGAAGGCACAGGAAGTCAGCGTGTCCCACCGTTGGTGCTGTTAAGGGGGTTCTCTAGGTTTCTCCATGACAGAGTTGTCATCTTATCTTTGAAATTATTAAGTAATTGGTGGGGAGATATTTTGACACCATGTAAAATGCCTTGTTCCTCATCCAGCTTTGACCTACAGTTATGATATCTACCCTCCTTTTTACTTACTACAACCTTTTACTTATGGTAATTATTGCCTACAATAACCTTAAACTGTGATTCTTTTCTTTTTTTATTAGTTTTTTGGGTTATGGTTTTTAGGCTGCCAGGTCCAGGATTTGAACCATGGTCAGCCATGTGGGAGTGCAGCACCTCAACCACCACACTACCTGCCACCTCCAAACATTTTCTCACATCATTTTTTCTTTTGTTCTTTTTAAAAAATTATTTAATTTTATTTATTGTTGTTACTATTTTAATTTGCTATGCGATATGTGTACTCACCAGAGCCAGAGATCGAGAGAGAAAGTGAGAAAGCAGGCTATAAGGTCTGGGACTTGAACTGGGGTTGGCCATGGGGGAATTCAGTGCTTCAACCACCACGCCACCTGCTGGCCCCTATTTTATTTTTGTCATGCTACTGTGAAAAAGCTCTTCTCATTCTTATTTATATCATAATGAATTCATGCACTTTTAGTTTATTCCATCAATGATAATTTTTTTAAAAAAATTTTTAAAAGTTTATTCTAGGGTCTGGCAGGTGGCGTGGTGGATAGGGGTGCTGAATTTTCACATGGCCGACCACGATTACAGTCCCAGACCTGGCAGCTTCCTTTCTCACTTTCCCTTTCTCTCTCTCTCTGTCTTTCTCTGGTCAAATTAAAAAGCAATAACAACAAATGCAATTAAATAAATACTTAGAAGGTTTATTCTGTGTATGAGAGAGGGACAGGAGAGAGAGAGACACAGAGAGAGGCACCCCCAAATGGTCTTCATGCCATGATCCAGCCCAGTATCAGCCAGCCTGGATAATGGACATGTGCATCTTCCTGGATGAGATGCCAAGACCTGTCCCTTGTGAGCTGTGTTACTCCTGAACTACCACCTGGCCCCAGTTTTTATTTTGCTGCTCAAAATAATCTGTCTCAGATTTGACAATAGGGGCTTCATCAAGTGGGTTTCTATGACTTCTTTTCCCCCAAAAAACGTTTCTTTCTTCCATGTGAGAGGGAGATGAAGGGGCCACTACCAACAGGGACTTTGTGTTGCAATTTTGTCCCACGCTTCAGTCAGCTGGGATTACAGGCATATGTTGATGTGTGTGACATGCACGGGGAAGTCTTAGGACTCAAACCAGAATCTTTCTATATGGCCTCAGCATTGCAGAGAGGCTGAGGCCACACCACCACCATGGCTGGCCTCTGTGACCTTTGGATATCATTTTTTGCCTGCCTCTTAGATTCCAGAAGGACAAAAACTTTCATCTTTTCTTTGCTCCAATTCTATTAGTCTTTTTTAAAAAAATAAACTCATATTTTTAAAATAATTATTTAATTTTACTTATTATTATTACTTTAAAATTTGCTATAGACACAGAGAGAGTGTGTGTGTGCACGAAAGAAAGCAAGCCACCAGGGTCCGGGACTTGAATGATAGTTGGCCATGTTAGAGTCCAGCACCTTAACCACCACGCCACCTGCTGGTCCTATCAGATGTCTTTAGAAGGAGTTGAAAATGGCATTTAGAAAGCAACATCTGGGTATTTTGTGTACCTATTGCTATGAAGGTTTCATTGCTCTAACATCCTGTGTGTATATCGAATATGTGTGTATTGAATGAACCTTCTGATCATTTGTTGGGACATTCAATATTTACTTGTGGCTTAAAGGAGTAAATATTCTTCCATTAATTTCTAAGTACTAGGGAGTACTTCAACAAATGGAAAAAATGTATCTTAGAATTCTAGGGACATCTTTTCTCTGTATTCTGCTAAGTACTTTACACTGTCATTGTATATTTAAAAACACTTTGACATTGCTAGAAATTGACAGGTAAAGGGGCATAGAAGGCCTTGAATTCTTTGAATGTATTTTGAGAAATCTATTTTGGTTCACTAAAATTTTAATTAATTAATTAACTTGGAGAGGTTTTTGTATAGGGCACATGAGCTCACCAGACAGACAGAGAGAGACAGAGAGATAGTAGGTGAGAAATCACCCCCCAGGGGGGATGGCCATGCCGCAATCCCTTCTCCTCCATTCTCCTCTCAGGATCTTGGGCATGCACGCACACATGCCCGGCGTGAGTTTAAGCCATTGGGCCCAGGACTCGAACTGCGGTCGACTACATGGGAGTCTAGTGACATAGCCATTATGCTAACTGCTGGTCCCACATTCTCTGACTTTTTAAAAGTTCGATATAATTGGATCTTTGGGACATTATCCCTGAGGGATCTGAAGTTTCAAACCTCTGCATATATATAGCTGCTGAACTTTAAATTGTTCAGGGACAGCAGATAATCCCCCAAAACAACAAATGATTTAGGTTTACATAGTGTTTCAGTTACTATCCTTTGGCATTTTTGTTATGGTACACACAGTCAATAAGTTTTAAAGAAAAGAATTGCACTATTGATTTTTACCTAACAACATTTAACACAGATGCATTCATTTTTTCATGCACATAGCTAGTGTAAGAACAGCATAAAGCAATATTTTGAGTTGGTAACTGGAAATTCAGATGGAAGGACAGATTTTTTTTGGCTACTATTTTTAGACAGTAGAAAACATCAAATCCCAGGTAACTGAATTGCGTTTTGCTTCTAAGACCATTGTGTTTGCTAGTCAACAGTAGCACAAAAAATCAAATTTTTAAAAGTGATCTTTTATAAGTCTACAAGTTTTTTGGTAGAGAATCTGTTAAATGTAAGATCTGACAGAGAAATATGTAAAAAATAATCTATTAATGAAATGAATGAAAACCAACCACTGTGATGGAGAGAAAAATGGATCTCTTAGGAAGAAAAGCAAAAACTCTGCATGTTTGAGCACCACAGAGGGGAGTAGTACTGACAGCTATTTCCTAAAATACTAAAGAGATATTCAGTGTTACTGATAATATTTAAACCTGCAATATAAACTGCTTGGGAACTGGTGACTAAAACAGAAAAAGTAAAGTGAAAGAACTTGTTGATAGGCTAAATATAGATATAGGGAAGGGAGAAGTTAAAGATCATGTAACATAGTGAGAACAATTTGAGAATTATTACATTCCCATTGTAGGGGCATAATACTATAAGATATTGCCCCTAAATTATGATTTTCATTGTTACCATCTGCCAGCTTTTTAAATATGCTGAACTGGGAGGAGAATAATAGCATTGACTGAAATTGAGAAACTAAGAATGGCAGTGAGGAGAAAGTGAAGACTGACCTATTATAATGTAAACCATATAACTGAGGGATTTGTCTGTGAAAGAAGGAGCAAAAAAGAGGAGGCAGTTCTCTTAGTGTAACAATGAGGGGAATTGTTAAGGACATATGTATTTGAAATAGAAAGGAAAAAAATCAGTGGGGAAAGAAAAAGATTGAAAGTGATAAAGAACAATAGAAATTCAGAGGCAAGGTAAGTTTTCTGTGATAATTTCTTGTTAATGTGTAATGTAAGATGTAAAGTAATATATAGCTGATCTATTATCTTATTTTCAAAGAAAATGTAAGGTAATTTTCTAGAAGGTTTAATTTCTGCCTTTTTCTGGGTATTCACGGGCTTTGATGTATAATAAAATATTGCTTAGGTACAAGTTTTAGAACTCTTTGTATACTTAAATAGGCATGGAGCTCAGTAATGAATGTGTAGTGAATCTATCAGTTTTAAATGAGTTGGGTTATTGTGTGTCATAAACTGGCTCTTAAATATAATTACAGAATATAATTTGTAATACTTTAAGCAATGTCATCTTTTTTGAAACTAGTGCGGACCTCAAAGCTGTTAGGACAGAGTTCAATTAGACTCAGAACTTCATAGATACCGGTTTGAAGTTCATTTCTTTCAACATTTCTCCTCTTCTAATACATATTATATAAATATTATACTAGTTTTTACTGTATGAGCTTTCTTTTTCTCATTTATCTCATTTTCCTAATTCATGCTCAACAATTTATTCAGTGTACATCCATATTTTTCCACATCCACTCTCAAATCTTTATTATAAATATACCATGTGCTAAGTATAGGATTATATGCTGAGATTCAATATGAAACAATATTTTTTTTTCACATTTACTGTTTTCTAAATTTTGTTATGGAAGAATTTTTTTTAATGTAGACTAAACCTGCTTTCCCCTGTAGATCAATAAATACACTATCCGGTAGTTTTTTTTTGTGGTAAATCTGTGTTTATAACAGTGAAAATAACTTTCATATATGAACATTATACTTTATTTCTTAATGTCCTCAGAAAGGAAGAGAATAACACCAGAATAATTGCAAGTTAAGAAAGAAATGCAAGGAGAAAATTTCACCATTTGGAGCTTTTTTTTCCTGGAAGGATTTTCCCGATACCCAAGGTTAGAGATTGTTCTCTTCGTCTTCAGCCTTGTAATGTATCTGATAACCCTCTTGGGTAATAGCACTCTTATTTTAATTACCATCTTAGATTCACACCTTCAAACCCCCATGTACTTGTTTCTTGGAAATCTCTCTTTCATGGATATTTGCTACACTTCTGCTTCTATTCCTACTTTGCTGGTGAACTTACTGTCCCCCCAGAAAACCATTATCTTTTCTGGGTGTGCTGTACAGATGTATCTGTCCCTTGCCATGGGCTCCACAGAGTGTGTGCTCCTGGCCGTGATGGCATATGACCGTTATGTGGCCATCTGCAACCCACTGAGATACCCCATCATCATGAACAGGCAGGTCTGTGTGCAGATGGCCACTGTCTCCTGGGTGACAGGCTGTCTGACTGCCCTGCTGGAAACCAGTTTTGCCGTACAGATGCCCCTCTGTGGGAACCTCATCGATCACTTCACATGTGAGATTCTGGCAGTGCTGAAGTTAGCTTGCGCAAGTTCATTGCTCATGGACATGATTATGCTGGTGGTCAGCGTTCTCCTTCTGCCCATTCCAATGCTCTTAATTTGCATCTCTTACGTCTTCATCCTTTCCACCATTCTGAGAATCAGCTCAGCAGAGGGGAGAAACAAAGCCTTTTCTACGTGTGGTGCCCACTTGACTGTGGTGGTGTTATACTATGGGGCTGCTCTTTCTATGTACCTAAAGCCATCTTCGTCAAACTCACAGGAAATAGACAAAATTATCTCATTGCTTTATGGAGTGCTTACCCCTATGTTGAACCCCATCATTTACAGTTTAAGAAACAAAGAAGTCAAAGATGCTATGAAAAAACTGCTGGGCAAAATACCAATTGCATCCAACATGAACGTCTCCAACTGAATGCCTGTGTTTTTACTAGGGATGCACCCCTGGCGGAACAACTTATAACCCTCTAGAACTTGGACTCGACTCTTAGTTCTATACTTTCACAGTTATATGTACACATAGAGTGATCACATGTGGACAGTAGTACATTCCATTTGCATTTATTAATATTTGCTGTCTTTTGTGTTTCATGGTTGTAAGAAGATTTGAGTTAAGAGTCATCAAATGTTTAGACCAGATGGGAATTGGATAAATTTACAGTCGGTGAATGTTAGTGCTAGAAGAAACTCTATAACTTCGCAAATTAAATCTTTTCTCAAATGAAGTGGGAGCATAAAGAAACAAACAATAAACAATGGTTTTGGTTATGTGAGAAAGCAAAACAAAAAAATTGCTCAACATTACACATATTCAAAAGTGGGACTACACATTCTTCTGACTTCTTGACCCAAGCTTATGCTACTACATGGTAGTGGTTCCCTACTTACCCTTTGTTTTTCTTTCTTTCTTTCTTCTTTTTTTTTTTTTTTGGATAGGTTTTTTGCTATAGGGTGCATGTGCTTGCCAGAAAGACAGAGAGAAACAGAGAGACAGAAAGTGAGAAATCACCCCCAAGGGAGATGGCCATGCCGCAATTCTTTCTTGTCCATTCTCCACTTGGGATCCTGGGCACACATGCACATGCACCCGGCATGAGTTTAAGTCGCCGGGTCTGGGATTCGACTGTGGTCAACTACATGGGAGTCCAGCGACATAGCCATTATGTTAACTGCTGGTCCCTCTTTTTAATTTTTAAATAATTATTTTATTTAGCTATATTTATTTTAATTTTAATTTGACCAGAGAGGAACAAAGCCAGAGAGAGAGAGAGAGAGAGAGAGAGAGAGAGAGGAAGCAAGCCACCATCTCCGGGACTTGCACAGCAGAAAAAGAGAGGAAAAGAGAAACCAACCCACCATATCCGGGACTTGAACAGCGACAGCATTTGGCCATGTAGGAGTCCAGCTCCCTTAACCACTATGCCATCTGCTAGCCAGTTACCCTTTGTTTTTCGAAACTCCGATTATAATTCCTTGTTTTCTTTTTCTTTTTTTTTTGGAGAGGTTTTCGCTATAGGGCGCGTGCGCTCGCCAGACAGACAGAGAGAGACAGAGAGACAGAAAGCGAGAAATCATCCCCCAGAGGGGATGGTCACGTCGCAATCCCTTCTCCTCCATTCTCCTCTCGGGATCTTGGGCATGCACGCACACGCGCCTGGCATGAGTTTTATTTAAGCTACTGGGTCTGGGATGCGAACTGCAGTCGACTACGTGGGAGTCCAGCGACATAGCCATTACGTAACTGCTGGTTCTCATAACTTGTAGAATCTTTTGGATTTTGGGTGTATACATCCACATTATGTATAATTTCATTTCTTCCTCTCCAGTCCTTACACCTTTTACTTATGTTTTTTGTTTTTCATTTTTGTTGTTTGACTTGTTGTGTGGCCAGGAACTTTAGTATGTTATTGACATTTTTTCCTATTCCCAGTGTATAAAGATTAAAAAATAATCATGAGGTAACCAGCAGATGGTGTGGTGGTTAGGGTGCTGGATACTCCCACATGGCCAACCACAGTTCGAGTCCCAGAACTCAAAGCCACCTGGTGGCTTCCTTTCTCACTTTCCCTCTCAAAGCCACCTGGTGGTTTCCTTTCTCACTTTCCCTCTCTCTCTTTCCTCCTCTGTGTCTCTCTCTGGTCAACTTAAAATAAATGAGTGAATAAATAAAATTAAATAAATAATTAAAACAAATCATGAATCTGTGTCGAATTTTGTTACATGCTATTTCTGTAATGACTGAAATGATCATGTAATTTTTCATCTCAAATAGTAAAAATGTTGTAATTATATTAGTTTTCTCATATTTAAACCAAGTTTTTAATTCTTGGAATAAATTCAATCTGGTCAAAGTGGTAGTATTTTATGTATTGCTGAATTCAGTTTTCGGATAATAGTTTATATATTTTACTTCTGTGCTAATCAGTAAGATTTGTCATTTTCCTTTCTAAGGCTGAATTTTTTTAAGTCTTTATATCAAAGAATGCTATCACCATAAAATGATTTTGCAAGTTTTTTTTTTTTCTTTATTGTTTGAAAGGATGTATGTAAACATTGGAATTACATTTCCTTAAGTATTTGGTAGAACTCACTGGAGTTTATTTATTTATTTATTTATTTATTTTCATTCTTTCTCTTTGTGTGCCATGGATGAATAGAGTTGTAGTAATCATCATCCTTGATTCATAAAATAATGTCATTGGTCATTCAAGTCTCTCTACTTATTTTAAATACTATAATGAATGGTTCTGTAGCCACCACTTTGCATGTGAATTATAGATTAGCATATTCAGTGACAGTAACAGATCTACCTTTATGTTCATTCTCCTGCCTGTTCTTTGACCTCCCTTACTAAAGGTAAACACTAACCTGACTTTTGCTTTTATCATTTTTGTGCATTGTTTTTATAGTTTTGTCATATATGTGTTTAGTTTTACATGCTTTTTTCAACTTTCTGTTTTAAAGGGGTTAGCTTTTGACCCCATATTACATGGCTAAGGCACTTTCCTAAAATGTTGTATAAATACAGTTCATTCATTCTGATTTGTATATAATATTCCATTGTGTGAATTTACCACACATTTCTCGTTTTTCCTTTGCTTTTTTTTTTTTAAAACATCTCTTGTTTTCATTATCTGGACTATTTCCAGTTTTTTGTTATAATGAGCAGTGTTGTTATATACAACCTGGGACTTTTCTCCTGGTAACAAATATGAAAGAATGATAGTTTTAAAGGTAGGAATGGAATTACTGAGTCGTATAGAATGTAAGTGCATGATTTTAAAAGATAACGTCAAACTGGTTTTCAGAGTGATTTTTAACAGCTTATACTCCTACCAGCAATGTATAAGAGAGTCTATAAATATATGTGCTTTATGTTCTTGGTACATCAGACTTCATGATATTTGCTGATTTAAAAATTGATATTGTGGTATTGATTGCATTTCTCTGTGGTGGTAGCTAACTGATCAGGATATGCAAGAAAATGACATCTTACCACATTCCCCCTGTGCCCTCTGTCGTACTGGATATCTTGTTTTGTGCTGCTATAACAAAACACCAACGACTGGGTAATTCATAAAGAATTTCTTTATAAATTTTGATGCTGAGAACATGCAGGTGTGCCCAGTAAGGCTCTCTGCTTCCAAGATGTCACCTTGAATGCTTCATCCTGCAAAGAAGAGGAATTCTGTGTCCTAACAGGGCAGAAGAGTATAAGAGACTGAACTCACTCCTGTAAGGTCTTTTTACGACAGCATCAATCCATTCATGAAAACTCTGCCCTTATGACTTAAAACACTTACCACTAGGTCTTACCTTCCCACACTATTGTATTGGAGTTTAAACTTCCAACATGCAAATTTGGATAGAAACATTCAAACCACACTACCATCAGACCATTGACTTCCAACACTGCTCAGTTGGCAAATTCCCAGCAGGGAGACTATAGAGGGTAAAATATAGACATTTTGACTTTGCTGCTTCTCTGATTCTTGAGACTAATAGGGGGTAAAAGCTATTACATAAAAGTATGGTGAGGGCTATGTGAAAGAGAGCCAGTCCCTGATAGAGTTAAGAATCCTAAGACTGGGGGCCAGCAGGTGGCATATAGGTTAAGATGCTGGACTCCCACATGGCTGACCACAGTTTGAGTCCCAGCCTCTGTGACTTAAGACATGCTGGGCATGTGTGCATGCTTGCCCAAAATCCCAAGAGAGGAGAAGGGACTGTGGTGTGGCTGTCCCCCCTGGGGGAGTGATTTCTTGCTTTCCGTCTCTCTGTCTCTCTGGTGAGTACGCATGCCCTGTAGCAAAAATCTCTCTTAAAAAATTCCTATGATCTTAGAAATCCTTGCAGGAGTATAATCTTATCAGAGATTGAAGGTTGGAAGGATCTTATTAAGGTTAAGGTTTATTAAACAGTCTAAGATTTATCAACAAAACAAATTTAGGATGTGTTAGGTTGGCTTAGTGGGAGCTGATGGTTTTTCATGCTTGATTTAAGGAGTGGCATGACTATTAGGTACTCATGAGAATTAAAACTAGAAGAAAATAGCTTTTATCTGTCCAATAAATTTTTACCATTCTGGTATGGGCATCTCTGGAGACATGCTGTCCTTCTGGTGGTTGATGTAGATGGTGCTGGGGTAGAAATTACATGGAACTGCTCATGTATTTGAGTAGTACAGTTTCACCTGGAGGAGTTTTGCAAGTTCAGGGGAAACTACTTGTTAAAGGGTTATTATCATCTTAGAGACCAGCAGTTAGCGTAATAGCTATGTCACTGGACTCCCATGTAGTCAACTGCAGTTCGCGTCCTGGACTCAGTAGCTTAAACTCATGCTGGGCACGTGTGCACGTGTGCCCAAAATCCTGGGAGGAGAATGGAGGAGAAGGGATTGTGGCATGACCATCCCCACTGGGGGATGATTTCTTGCTTTCTGTCTCTCTCTGTCTTTCGGCGAGCACACGTGCCCTATAACAAAAAACCTCTCGAAAAAAAAAAAAAAGTTATATCATCTTAAACAGAATGTGTTGAAATTGACACTGGACAAATATAAGTTCTTTTGCATTTTATTGAAATATGTATGGTATCTTGATCCCAAATATGGGTATGTACATATTTACCCTAAAGTGTGAGCTTAATCTCATCAGTTCTAAAGAACTGAAGCCATTCTATGATTTCTTCTGGTACTATTAGCATTTTATTAATAATTACCTTGCATTTCTAAATCATTCAAGGATGCCAGGCCAGATGTGAGGCTATCTATTGTCCGGTCAGGTAGTTGCTATAAAACCTGGAGAGAAGAGTGAGGACCAGTATGTGGACAAAGGGGCCAGTCTGTGAGCCAGCATCCACAGTGCTGAGAACCAGTTAGTCAACATTCACATAACTTGTGTAGACCCCCAAGCTCTC